TCACTAGCCCTGGCTGCTTGCTCCTGTTCAGAAGGAGCATCCCTATGGAAGCTGCCTGGGTGATTTCGAACCAGACACAGACTTTCTGCCTAACCTACCTTAGAGCGTTGCTTTACAGATCTCAAAGCAGAAGAGAATGAAGTAAGCTGCTTTGCTCCCCGCTAATGACAAAGACAGATTTTTGCCTAGAAAGAGGCTGCTGAGAGGGGAGGAGATAAAGTTGCCAGCTTTAGGTAGCTGATTTTCCCCTCGGGTTGCCAATCTCCAGGTGGTACCTGGAGATCTCCGGCTGTTAGAATTGATCTCCAGATGACAGAGATCAGTTCCCCTGGAGAAAATGGCTGCTTTGGAGGGTAGACCCTATGACATTATACCTGCTGAGTCCTTCCGTGCGCCCCCAATGCTGCCCTCCACAGGATCCACCCCCCAAATCTCCAGGTATTTCCCTCCTTAGAGCTGGCAACCCTAAGGAACATTTTATTGGGAACATTGGGCTGTACAATCTCAAAAGAATACACAGTTGACCAGAAAGAAGTACTACTGGACATGTGATTGCACTGGAGGCTTCATTTGTATTTGTATTTCTTTGCCCAGTGGTTAAACTTTGGAACAATTGGTTTCTGGTCTTTATTCTATATTTTGTATATGTATGATTGTATGTATTTTTGCATATCAGCCAACATGTTCTGTCTATATTAGACCTCTGAGGAAGGCCTGTAAAGGCCGAAACGTGTTAGGTCTATCTTATTAGTCCTTGTATGTTTTTATATTTGTATATGAGGTATGAATAGGCCCTTGTTTGTTATTTTAATTTATGTTGAATAAATACATGTATATTTTCGTATGTTTTATAATTAGATTTTTAGAGTTGGCCCTCTTCTATTCTTGACTAACCTTTTTAGGTTCTGAACCCTACTTTCCCCTCAGTGCCTGTTGGTAGGCAACCAAGCTTCGTCCTGTCACCTATTTTGGCCTTTGGGAGAAAACACATTGGGGCCAGTCCTGATAGGGTTGCCAACTCCAGATGGGAAATTCCTGGAGATTTGAGGGATGGAGACTGAAGAGGGTGAGGTTTGAGGAGGGGTGGGACATCAGACAGGTACAATGCCATAGACTCCACCCTCCAAACCAGCCAGTCCCTCTGGGGGAACCATTGTTGCCAATCTCCAGGTGAGGGCTGGAGACCACTCAGAATTACAACTGCTCTGCAGAAGGGAGGGCAGAAGTCAGCTGAAGTCAAAGGGGCAGATAATGGTAGGTTGATGGTTAGCTGGGAAGGAGATGGGGTTGCCAACTCCAGACTGGCAAATTCCTGGGGATTTGAGGGGTGGAGCCTGGAGAGGGTGGGGTTTGAGGAGGTGTGGGACCTCAGACAGGTAGAATGCCATAGAATCCACCCTCCAAATCAGCCATTTCATCCTGGGTACCAATTGTTGCCAATCTCTAGGTGAGGGCTCTTCAGGTAGCAGAGATCAGTTCCTCTGGAGAAAACAGTGGACTCTGTCATTATACCCTGCTGAGGTCGCCACAGCAAATTGACACTGTTTGCCCAAAGCCGGAGCACTCTCTCTAGATTTTATTGTATTTATTTCCACAACGGGCCTTATTCCTAGTAAAGTGTATAATGGCAGAGCAGCTCCAGGGGCTCCTGGATAAAACATCTGCCCTTGACCCATTTTCAATCTAGTTTCAAGCCTGGGTTTGAATGAAAGACTGCTGTAGTTGCACTGGTGAACAGTCTTTGTTCCAAGTTAGGCAGGGGACAGTCATCCCTCTTGGACCAGTCTTTGACAGAGCTGACCACTCCATTCTTGTATACCAGTTGAAATATGGAGTTGATATGGTGTTAAGGGAGCAGCCCTTTCGTAGTTTCACTCTGAGAACCAGTTTGGTGTAGTGGTTAAGTGCGCGGACTCTAATCTGGGAGAACTGGGTTTGATTCCCCACTCCTTCACTTGCACCTGCTGGATGACCTTGGGCAAGCCATAGTTCTGACACAGCTGTTCTTGAAAAAGCAGTTCTCTCAGAGCTCTCTCAGCCCCACCTACCTCACAGGGTATCTGTTCTGGGGATGGAAAGGGAAAGGAGTTTGTAAGCTGCTCTGAGACTCCTTTGGGTAGTGAAGGGTGGGGTATAAATCCAATCTCTTCTTCTTTTCTGTCTGATCAGACATGGAGTTTTCACAGGTATAAATCCAATCTCGTCTTCTTTTCTGTCTGATCAGACATGGAGTTTTCACAGGAGGAGCAGCATCAATTGGTAGGATTTGTCCTCTGAAGTTCTAGTCTCTCACTCATGCTTTTAAATTTATATTTATATATAAAATGAATTGTACAGAGATTTGGGGCTGGGTGTTGCAATATGCAGATGACAACCAGCTCTATATTTCATTATCCAAGCCTCCAGATGCATCCATCTTGGTTCTGCATCAGTAGTTTAAGGCCACGGTCAGGTGGCTAATGCAGAACAAGGCAAAGCTGAATCCAGACAAGGCAGAGGTAATACAGCTGCTTTGGTGGCCCTAGAGGGACAGGATCCACTTGCCTAGGGATGAAGTGGAGCAGGCTTTTGCAGAGCAGGTTAAGGACTTGGGGGGTTCCCCTGGATACAGCCTTACTGTTTGAGAAGCAGTTTGGTGCACTGGCCAAGAGCACCTTTTATCAGCTGCATCTGATTTGCCAACTCTCTCCCTTCTTAGACTCAGCCATCTGGCCACGCCAATCCACCCTTCTGTAACCCTCACAGTTGGATTACTGCAGCGCATTTTACTGTCCTTGAAGACAAACCAGAAACTGCAACAGGTCCAAAATGTGGCAGCCTGATCAGTGCTGGGGCTAGCTGATGGGGACATACATTTCCTGTTTTGAAAGAGTTAAACTGGCTGCCCATTTATTTCCAAGATCAATTCAGGTACTGCTTATGACTTTTAAAGCCTGGGTTCCACGTATCTGAAGACTAACTACAGGCTGCAGCTGGCTGTTCCTTTCCTTATGGTGACTTGCCTTGCACCAACTGGAGCCCAGGCCTTTTCCATCATGGCCTCCTCAGTTTGGAATGGCCTCTCTGAAGAGGTGAAGAGAGTGCTCTCATTGGGCGTCCTCAGGAGGTGCTGCAAGCCTTGTTTGCTTGTCAGGGCTAAGAAACCTGTGAACTAGTGCCTGGAGGCAGTTTTGGGATGGATGAAGGCTAAAAAGCTGAAACTTGATCCTGAGAAAATGGAGGTGCTACTGGTGGAAGAAAAGATTGACTCCAGAACTGAAATGTCTCCTGTTCTGGATAGGGTTGCACTCCCCACAAAGGTGCAGGTCCATAGTTTGGGGGTGCTGCTGGACCCAGACCTCCCGTTAGATAAACAACGTGACAGCAGTGAACCTGCTAAGATTTTCTGGGCAAAACAGATCTTTCCACTCTGCTATGGCCTGGCAGCATGTAGATTAGACTACTAAAATGTATTTTATTTGGTGCTGCCCTTAAAGAAGCTACAATTGGCAAAGAATGCTGTAGCCAGAATTCTGATTGGAGTGGGTCATAGGGGCCATAACACTTTTCTCTTGACCCATCTACACTGGCTCCTAATCTGCTTCTAGGCCCAGATCAAGGTGCTGGTAGTGACCTTTAAAGCTTTACACAGCTTGGGGTCAACATATCATAAAGGACCACCTCCTGTCATATGAACATACCCAGCCACTCTTTGGAGACTTGATGGGTGGCAATCTGAGAAAGGGCTTTATTGGTTGTGGCCCCAAAACTATGAATTGCCTCCCCAAGGAGATTTGCCTGCTGTCTTCTATTATTGATTTCCACCAGCTGATAAAGACTTATCTGTTTTATTTCTTGTTCCTCCACTGATCCTCCTTCCCTTTCGTATTTCTATGTGTTTTGTTTTATACAGAGCAAAACTACAGAGTAAAACATATATATTTTTAATATTGTTCTAATATTTTTGATTGTTTGCTGTCTCAGAGATCCTACGTTGGGTTGAAATCACCCTAAAAACATTTGAAATAAAAATAATTTTAAAATATAAACTTGCCTCTCCCATCATCTGCATGCTCGGCACCTCAGTGTCAAGGGATTTGTTGTGCTGAGAGAGGCTTATGTAACTATTGATTTGGGAAAGTTTTATATTTATGTACAAAAGAAAACCCCCATTAATCCTGCAGGTTTACAAGGAGAACCATGATCAGCCCACATGGCAATTAACCTTTTTTGGTATATCAGGGGTCTTTTCCTAGAAAAAGAGCTGCAGGAACTCATTAATATACAGTATGCTAATTAGCTACTAGGCTATTAGCATAATAGCTCATTAGCATATGCAACACCCCCTGACATCACCAGAAGTTATGTCAGAAGGAGAAGCAAAGGGGGGGGGAGGCATATTCAAAAGCCTCCCCTTCCCTTCCCAGCCAGCGGGGGGAGCGAAGAGAGAAGGAGGAAAGAGGGAAGGAAAGAGAGAGAGAAAGTGCAGAGAGAAGGAACAAAGGAATGAAAGAGTGAAAGAGGAGGAAAGAAGGAAGGAAAGAGGAAAAGAAAGAGCGAGAAGGGAAGAAGGAGGGAAACAGGAAAAGGAGAGAATGAAAGGAGGGAAAGAAAGAAAGAGTGAGAAGGGAAGGAGGGAAAGGGGTAAAGAAAGAGAAGGAAAGAAGAAGGAAAAGAGAGAAAGAAAAGGAGGGAAAGAAAAGGAAAGGGGAAGGAAAGGAGGAAAAGAAAGAGGGCAAAGAGATGGGGGAGGCTCTCCCACCCCCCAATCAAGCCTCCACCACCCCCAGCGGATCCCTCACTTACCCCGGGAGGCGGCGGGCCCCCCCTCTTCTGGCCCCCCATAGGTCACAGCGCTTCCGCGCTGGCCCTGGGAGGTGGCGGGGGGCCTCTTCTGGCCTCCCATGGGCCACAGTGCTCCAGAGCTGGCCCAGGGAGGTGGGGGGCCTCTTCTGCCCTCCCACGGGCCACAGCGCTCCTGCGCTGTCCCAGGGAGACAGCAGGGGGCCGCAGCGCGGCGAGCTGGGGGCGGGGCTTGCTGCCACTGTCATTTGTTCCAGCCCCTGGGCTCCTGGAGCAGCGCTCCGGCCCCAAAAGACCCCTGGTAAAGTCTGTAATTTAGGACAATAAATCCCAATTAAATATTGCCCACTACTATCTGCCTTTCAGACAGGAGAACACTCCCCCCCCCCAGTACTTCCTAGAGTAAGTCTAATGATCCTTTCATTTTAGTTTCATGTAGAGGCTGCTTTTGAAGGGCAAACATACCAACATTCTCCACTGCAGATCCACATGGAAATTATGTACACCTGGACTCCACAGCTGTTTGGTAAGTGGTAGCTAAGGTATCTACCACTCCTAGGATCCCTTAATATTTTGCAGTCCTATTAAACTCCCACCTCTTGCTGATTACAGAGAACTGATGACTGCTGGGAAGAATCCGTTTTGTACAATTCCACCCCGAGAGGGAAATTTATTGGCCTTTCCTTTGGCTATATTACAAAACAGCTTTATTCCGAGTGCATGACTAAAATTGTCAACAAGTCATGTGCCTGGTTTAGTCATGCACTCAGATTGCTAGCGTGCCCACCAACGGATGCTTGTTGGGCATTCACTTTGCATTTTGCGCCATGTTAACCTGACTTAAAGTAAGCTGTCATAGGTGTCATTGCAAATCATCCCCCCCCCACCCCCGGTAGTCAGCTTTTAAACATTTTTATGTGATTGCAAACACTGGCATGTTATGCAAAACAACTCCCAAAGACAGATGATATTACCTTTGTAAGAGATACTGAAGTTTTAGCAACTTGCTTTGCTTTACCCTCACAGACATCAGAGCAGCTTGCTGGAACAGTGGAATGTGTAGAATCAATCGTATGCTGCCCACACAGACCATCTGGAGAGCTAGTCTTTAGTTCTGGAATATAAACAGAACAATGAGTGACAAAGTTGTGAATTTCTAGGAGGTGGAGAACACCTCCGTTAAGATATCTTGTTTTAGATGAGAAGCATACCACAAGTAAATATCCATTTGAATGGCACTCACAGAGTACATTTTCTGCCCTTTGAATCATAAGGTTTTATTTGTCCCTTGTTTACTATGCACAATTTCCAAGCAAGCAAAAGGGCAAGGCCTCCCAGTGTGGCTGTAGCTTTCTATTTTCAGATGCCTGCCTGAGTGTAGGAGATGCACATTTTCCGTTACTTATTTCCACTCCACCCCCCCATGTTAACAGGGACCATTTTCCCTGGTGTGATGCTCTTTCGCAGGATCCCCAGAGAGAAAAGCTTGTTACTAAGTGAGCCTGTTCCATTCAAGATAAAGTTCCCCACACTGCCTGTTTTTACCTTCAGACAAGTAGGTCGGCTCCCTAATTTACCAATGGAGAGAAATTTACAGCTCACTCCCACTAGGCTACAGGTGCTAAAGTGTTAAAGGTTGTGCGCTGCAAATGATTTTTTTTAAAGGAGAAACCTGCTGTACTGACAAAATAACTTTCCAGAACAAACTGTAAATCAACTCACCATTTGCTTCCTATACATAGAAGCCATGTGTCTGATTGAGGAACCTTTAGGGGTACCAAGAACCCCAGATAAAGATTCCAACTGCCTCCCATACACCACCTGAGCATCACATGTTATGGTGAATGCATGTACATCTTATCTTGCATGCATGTGCACACATCTGCATGTGAGAAAAAGTCAATGCGCATTCACTTTATGGATGAAACTGGGGACCAGTGCCTAGATAAATGTGATGTTTCAATCACATGTTCAGCTGTACATAAGATTATTCCACACACATATGAAAGAAAAAAGTATACACTGTAATGGATTGCACACAAATTCACTGCAAATTGTGAACAAGTCTAAAAAGTGAAAACAAGCTATATGACTTGCCTAGCTCTATGGGCCCTCCAGATGACCAAGAGTTTATCCGAGTCTCCCATCTTGGCAGGCCTGCCCTCAACAGGGAAAAAAGAGCTGTGTTCTTTGCTGCTTTGAAACACACATGCTTAAGGAGGGATATTTCTTGGAATACATGTGACAATCTGTCATAATTCAAAATGGATCAATGGTTTCCAGATTCGCTGTAGTATATTGGGCACTATTTTGTAGAAAGCAAAACTTGGAATGTGCCCATTTTTCTGACAACAACTTCATGTCTCACAGCTGCCTGAAAAGCTTGCATATGGTGGCCCTACATTATGGAGAGCCATTTGATTGTGTCTGTAGCCACACAAACTATTCAGCTTTGGCACACACTAGTAAACAATAAAAATACTTCTCAATGTCTGCTGAGAGCCAAATTCTACATGGCAGCAGACGTACGTTATTGCATTGCCAGCTACACATGTGTTTGAAAATAGACAAGTGTTGATTTGCCTATGAGGACCATGGACGAAATATGCTAATAACAAAATTAATCTAATTATTGATGGAGCAGGGGTGGTAGAATACTCTGCCACTCACCTGCCACACTTCTATTGCCATCTGCTCGAAATGCTGCTGATATTATGGAATAATGTTGAAGGAATAATTATATTGAGAAGTAAAGGAATAATATATGAACTTGATTACTGTTAAAATCCATGTTTTTAGATTTAAAATATGCAAGATTTTGGAAATAAAGGGCTCTGTCAAATAATGGTTATTAAAATTGGGGGATATTGCCAAGTATGCCAAGTATGAGGAAATCGAGAAGGCAAGTCTTTGTAATAGCTTTTTGTACATTTATTTAATAAGAACATTATAAAAGAGGAGAAATGCTGAATTGCATTTCACATAACCCTATTTTTCATAATATCTATTAGCTAAGCAACATTATTTCAGAGGTCTTTGTAATAACTTCAGGGATAAATGAAAAAATATTTATGTTGTACTAAAATAGTTAATGTATCTGTTTGTGAAAGAGCTAATACAAAAATCCCTTTAATATTCATATGAGGGATTGGATGCTACATATCCAATGAAGCATTAACTTTCAACTGATGAATTTTAACCCAAGGTACATTTTTTTTCCATACCAATTCTCAAGAACCAAAAGGTGCTATTAATTCTTTTCAGTTATTACAATTTTGTCACTCCTATTCATACTGAGAGAGTGGACTGCGAGTAATCCTTTTGATGTGTATGGCTGCCATTCTGTGTGGATTACACCATGTATGTACACATGATTGGATATGCAGCTTTTTAAGGTTTGTGCCCCCACATATCAAAGCTCAAAAATATGCATGTTGCTACAATCACACAACATGGTGACCATGCATATCAAGAGGATCACACATAGCATGCTGTCTTGGTACAAGGTAGGAGTGCCAGAATTGTAACAACTATGCAAATGAAAACAAACCATAATGCAAAAAGAAGCCATGTGGAAAGAAACTGAAGGGATTGCGAATGGATAAGCAGTCATTCACAGTCAGTGTAGAATACACAAGGAAGATCGATGTGTAAAGGCTACTTCATGTGGGAAACCATGTATATGAAGTTTAGGGCAGGGATCCCCAAACGTTTTGAGCCCGTGGGCACTACTGGAATTCTGGCACACCATGGCTGGCAAAGCTACAAAATGGCTGCTACAAGATGACTGCTACAGGAGGCAGAGGCAGTCACAAAATGGCTGTTGCAGCTTACCTTCAGGTGCACATAGGGTTGCCAATCCCCAGAGGGGGGCAGGGGATCCCCTGGTTTGGAGGCCCTCTCCCCACTTCAAGGTTATCAGAAAGCTGGGGGGAGGGAATGTCCACTGGACGCTCCATTATACCCTATGGAGACTGATCCATATAGGGTATAATGGAGAATTGATCCATGGGTATCTGGGGCTCTGGGGGGTTATTTGAGGGAGAGGCATTAAATCTTCAGCATAGGATCTGACGCCTCTCCTCAAAAAACCTTCAAGTTTCAAAAAGATTGGACCAGGGAGTCCAATTCTATGAGCCCCAAAAGAAGGTGCCCTCATCCACCATTATTTCCAATGGAGGGAAGGCATTTAAAAGGAACACAGTCCCTTTAAATGTGATAGCCAGAACTCCCTTTGGAGTTCAATCGTGCTTGTCATGATCTGTGCAGGACTGGGAGGAGGGCCTGGTGCGGCCTGGTCCCAGGAGAGACCTGCATGGCAGTGAACAAACAGCCTACAGTCCCCATAAGGCTTAGCGACAGGCGATAGCCAATCAGAGAGGAAGATTCTGTGAGGAGACTGTTGGATACTGTGTGAGGAGGGTCGGTCTTCGCCATTAACTATGGGAAACGGAGGGTTTTTCCGTCTCTCTCTGCAGCCTGGTCTGGGAGAGAGGAAGATCTCCACTGGGCTCAGCGTGCGTGCTAGGCAGGCTGTGGGCCTGGAAGTAGAAACAGGTAGCTGCGTTAGATTATGCTTATTTTGCCTTTCACACTGTTATACCCTTTTAAAGCACCTTGCCGTGTTTTCCATGCCCCAGTGTTGTTTTTAATAAACCCTTTCTGTTTAATTATTTTCTCTGCCTGTGTGTTCTCGGCTGTAAAGGGGCTTGTGTTGGATGGGCTTGAGAGGGTACCCTGGGCCTTCTCAAAGGGACCCTAAGTCCAGGGTGGTGGCGGCGGAAGGCGGAGACCCCCTGGGGTTATGACAGTGCTTCTTCCCTCCCCTCTACTGGAGGCTCCTGGAAAGTCCCCCGCTGGGTTGTCAGCCTCACCTAGGGTTGCCAAGTCCCGCAAACTCACTGGCGGGGGAGGCTCCAATGGGTCCGGGAGCCAGCTCCGGATGCGCGCGCCGCCAGCACGTCAATGGAAGTGACGTGCAACGTCGCTCACGTTGGGGGCGTGGCCCAGATCGTCGGGGGGGAAACCATATGGTTTCCCCCCCGATGATCTGGGCCATGCCCCCAACGTGAGC